AAAGTTTATCTTGTGATAGTCCAAGATCAAAATAGCCTTTTGCTTATCATTGTCATGAATAAATTTGATGACAAAATCAAAAGAAAGTTGAGACTAAAGCAAATGTCTGGTTAAACAGCAAAAGTTTCGCGTCATAGCGCGAAAGTTACGCGTTTATTCGCGAAAGTTTCGCATTAATTCACGAAAGTTTCGCGTTAAAACGCGAAAGTTACGCGTAAATTCGCGAAAGTTTCGCGTTATATCGCGAAAGTAACGCGTTCATTCGCGAAAGTTTTGCGATATAACGCGAAAATTTTTTTTGTTACCTACGAAAATGAGCTCATTGGGCTTTTGTAACATTGCATGTTGCTTTTAGCATGTTTTTTTTTATACGGATCGTTTATTCTTTGTTTTCACGGACACTTGATTTTCCATAATAAAACTATGTATTACCCCAGGAAACAAAAACAACCAAAAGGTATCTAATTCTAAATAACGTGGAGTACCTATACCCCCCCTCCCCCCACCCCCCGTCACGCACGAAAGGAAACCTTATCACATAGAGAAATTAATATGAATAATTTTATGCACTTAATCTAATGGTGGGAATTTGTGGTTTGGCTTATCCATCTTTTTTCGGAAGGAAAAGATGGTTTAACAGCAAATCCACTTTTTGTTTCCCATAATAAAGTTTGTATCACTGCAGAAATGCATGTATTACAAATTCAAACATACGAGGGTTGTTAGAAAAGTTTGCGGACACATTAAATTACGGAAAATCTATTGTGTACTGTGGAATATGACCTATGTCTGAATAAATGCCTACAGTTTGTTTATTATGTAAAAAACTTTTCTAAAATGAACATTTACAACGATTTTTCTATGAAATTATGGGATTCACGGAGCAATCACTTGACGTAAGGCGACGTGACAACCAGATTTCAAACCGTTAAGCTTTGTCGTAGTTTAATAAATCCTTCATTTCTTTAGATTTTACTTATCTTTTTTTCTACTTTAAAATTGAATATCTATTTCAAGTTTGAGTACCGGTTAACCGGGTACGCAACGTGTTATCAAAACTAACATCGGTTTCGGTTACTCGGATGTATATTTAAAATATTTCTAAGCTTATTTATTGATGCTTTAAAACATCGGTTTTAAAATGAAAAATGTTCATTGCACTTGTGCATACAGTAATTCAGGGTTTTGAGCCTCCAAATTATGTTTTATAATTTTATACAGTAATATACGTGTACCAAGCACCTGCTACCTACCTGGCCCAATCGGCTGTCATTTATGTTTAGTTTGCTCTAATTATTTGTTTTCATTGAACATCGTTTAAGGTCTAAAACTGTTTAAATAAACACGATAATTTTGCAATTCTCCAGAAGCCGTAAATTCTCGGGGAAAGAGACGATATATTGCACGTGCGATTGTTGAAATGGATGTGTTTGATTACGTGCCAATTAATGCAAATAGTTGAATCCAAAGGTTTTAAAAATTTGTCCATCGTTGCACCAAACTACAACATACCGTCTCGTAATTTTAATGAAATCAATGATCGAAAAGTGTACGAAGATCGTAAATCCGCTCTGTTAGAACTTGATACTGTACACGTTGCTCTGACGACTTATCACTTGTACGTCAAACGCACTGATAGAGTTACATTACAATTAGGGTACAGATTATTTTTTTTAAAACAAAACCACTGTGAGCCATTTATGATTTTATTTCTCGTATTTATCTGATAAATAAATTGGACTTAAAAAAAATCTTAGATTGAATTTAGTCGGGCACAAATTGTCATAATTGTTACAACACATTAACAGGTAAGCCTCCCATCAGACCATGGGGTTTTTTTTCAATGTTTTACAGTTATCAATTAACTTGTTCATATTTATTTAGACTTTTCTGTTATCAACTTTAACCTTCACCAAAACTTATGAACCATAAAAATTGACCGATTTGACATCCCTAATTTCAAGACATGCTACTTTTCTACTACATGTATAATGTCTTTTGTACTGATTCGGATATTATTGAGAACTTTAAAAATGTTTATGCAGTTAATCGATTAGGTATGGAAATTGTGCAAAACCATGTAGGCACAACGTCTTTTCGATAAGGGGGCATTGAAGTATCGATGGAGTTAATTATTCAAAATGTGAATCATTCTTATAAAGCTCCCAGCAGGCACACAACGTTGTTTAAACATATTTTGAAGTTTGGTTTAGACTTGATTCTAATATAGTTTTGATTCAACGTTGACTTTTCAAGGAAAATTTAACATTGAATCAACATTGAATTCAAATTGAGTTGAATTTTAACACCTTACCATAGAACTAATCCACAACACTTTTTTCGCTGATAGCTGTTTGGACTATGATATTATCGGAATATAACACTGTCGGGCCATAACGAGGTCGGACTTGACAAAGTCGTACTACCATATATCATTACTAAGTATTATAACTAACGAGGATGGTAAATATATAAATTTTACACATTTAATGATAAATATGAATTCAATACAAATTTGCCACAGTACGAATTAAGAGGATACGCAGTAGGACATCCGGAAAATATTCAAAAAGACAGCATAACACAACCCTCAGGACCCAACCCCAAGATTTAATTTAAAAAAATACTCTTCAAAGAAATCATTTCGGCATGTCAGAGTACTAGTATCATTGAAGAGACATAATTTGTCGAAATGCATATCTGGTGCATCAAAAGTTGTACCATATAAGATTCGCATCTTACCTTGGAATGGTTTCGTGTTCTGGACTATTTCATGACCACATGTGAAAATACAAAACGTTTGTAAATGCTCGGGTTTTGTAACATGATTAATTTATAAAATGTATTTAATTTGGTTAAAATTATTGTAACACAATTAACTATTGATAGGAAATTAAACACTTACTGTTTACAATATATATATTTTTTCACATAGTGATATACCGTGTGTTTTCATTTAAGGGGTCCCGACCCTCTGCTATAAATTTCATCTTAGAAAATTTAAAATTTGTTATATTGATTTTCATAAACAACAATAACATTAGAGCCACATGGAAAATAGTTTGAAGTATAAAGCGCTGCTTATTTTTTCCAGAAATGCTTTTTTATGTGCAGCTCATGAAATGAAGAAATTGAACACATAGAATAGAAAGAGTAACGATTTATTACCACAACATTAAATATAATATATGAGGTGCATATGAAAATAATACTTACTATTATACCTATTTAAATCATGTTAGAAAACATCATGGAGCGATGTTTCCTAAGTCAGAAAATCACAATGTTGTATGTGGTTTTAAGAAAAAAATATATCTGTGTTGAGGAGTTATCTTTCTTCTAAATATTTCTTCATGTGAAATAAAAGTCATTCTAATTAAAATACTGTATTAAGTACTTGAAATATTAAACCATTTTTAAAATGGTACTTAAAAAGATACAACTTATTCAATTTATAAGGCATTTGATGTTGGATTTAAATGTTTTATTGTTAAATATAATAAAACAATTGCAAATAAATTAGCAAAAGAAATAGAAAGTAATGTTTCCATCATATATTTGATCTCATCAAATTGTGTACTCAGAGGTCTCAGGAAACTGATTAAGAAAACTTTGAGTAGTATTACTATTTAGTACTTTGAACGCTATCTGTCTTATCAGAGGGTCGCTTTCCCTTCAACAATTATGAAGGCATCTTAGCAACCGTGCAATGAAACGGTTGAAATTTTAAGTAAGTATATTATTACTATATGACACCCCCTTTCCAAAATAAATAATTGAATAAATGTTGAATCAACTGTTTTTCAACATATAATCAACGTTGATTATCAATGTTGATTCAATGTTAAGACTTCAACGTTGATACAAATTTTCAAAATCTAAAATAAAATCAATGTTGAATCAACATAGAAAAACAACGTAGATTCAAAGTTTATTCAATGTTGTTTGCCTGCTGGGCTACAACCATTAGAAAACCTGTCCTTTATGTGTAGGATATTCCCGGCAGCATCTTGAACATTTTAATCTCATTTTAGACTTTTACTTGTTTGCACACATAATTTTTACGTAGTGCAGTGCTCCATGACGCCCAATGACGTTCCAATTTTCGGCTGTGTTTTTACGCGTTGATCATTTATAAATGGCTATAAAACAGTCATATACCCTCCAATTTAATACAATTTTTTTTTCCAAATAACGTTTCATGAATACTTTAGCGACACTTAAAATATTATAAATCTCTTTGCGCTATAGTTGAGCAATTTTTAATCTTAATACAGTCATTGTGATGTAAACGTGCCAAAATGTAGCATGCTCCGTGAAGCAAGTTTTATCAAAATAAAAAAGCTGTATATTTTTCAATGATCACCGGAGAGTACCAAATTTTTGTATATTTATTGGAAAATGGGTTAAAATTTTATCTGGAAAGTTTGACCTGTTTCGTGGAAATAGCGCGCTTACAATAGAACTTGTCCGCGAACTTTTCCAACACCCCTCGTATTATACATATCTAATTTTAATAAAAAAAACAAAGTTACAAATAAGTCAAAAATAACAAAATCACACAAACATTTGAAATATTTCCCCATTTTTTTTCGGAGGGGGAGGGGTTATCAATCTGGTTTTATTTATTCACAGCTTTTCAGTTTTGAGCTGCATATGTCCAATGATATAAAATAGAATATTTTGCAGTCCTTCAAAGCTTACTTATCTTATAAATGGCAGCTGCGTTATATCCACTAAGCTGGTCAATTATTTGGGCTGCTGTCGATATGTATTTTGGGACACTCATAAAAAAAATTCTAGTGCAACAGGAATAATAAATTCAAGGTTATTTTCCCCCTTGAAATACATGTATTATGGAAGCACTCATTCCACTTTCATGAAAAGTGGGCCATCCATGAAAGTTGGTCCCATTCAATGCTTAGCTTACTTCAAATTATTTTTTATATATCACTTAAAATTGGACTGATGCCAAATATTAATGAAACACTAAAAACCACTTAAAACTACATGTATTTAATAACCTTATAAAATACATCAACAAATTGTCATACATGTACTTTAAAGCTGAGATAAACATAAACCTGAACAATTATATTAAAACTACTTCAAGTTTTAGAATACTTTTCCTTTAAGAATAAATATATATCATATAGTTAAACTGGATGTGAAAGTACATATTCTTATTGCACGCTTTTGGAGGTTTTACTATAGAAACAATTGAAGGTGTAAAAACTGCAGATGCATTCACTCACTGGTCACATCAGAATTAGCAAGTCATTCACTTTTAGTGTATGCATACTCCAGAGCACTTGATATAGTTCTCATGTCTGTCTCAATACTTTTGGCCCAGTTTTCCACATCTCCCAGCTCCTAAAAAAATAAATAAATAAAAATACATGTGATCATGGCATCAATAAATTAATGTTTATTTTCATATAAAATTATTGGTAAAAATTGAAATTGTCAAGTAATTTTTTTTTAAGTTGCTAAGATTCAATGTACATGTTTTAAAATCCATTGAAATTGACAGCAACATATCTCAGAACAACCCATTTGACAGTAAATATGTTGGCTACAGCCTACATGTATATGGAAGGTACATATATTATTTAAGAAAAGAATGTTAACCCCATGTTCATAAAAGGCAGACAATTAACTGAAATTGAGAGTTAATTTTAATCCAACAGAGTGAGTTTGATCCACAAGGGACAAGGTTCATCAGGTCATTGACCATCAATGCAGTTATGAAAATGAAGTTGTACCTGCATGTATTAGTCTTGTATTACCATATTCTGGGAGTTGGTTATTCTATCAATTCTAATCGCACAAATTGACAGGTATAGCCCTCAACACACCGATTTACATCTACATTGACACATCTAATGAGAAATGTCCAAATGCAAAATGGACAAATAACTACCGGTACAACAACATCCCCCCCCCCAACACACACACTTTTCAAAAAAGGTCACTCAAAGTATTTCATTGATTTAAGAGGTGTTCATAGTTTATCAAACACTGAGAGTGAAAATTTAATTGCTCATTATATTACCGTATAAGTAGAAATTTTAGCAAGGATTTAATTTTGGCATTATTACCAAGGCTGTTGAGATCGCTAAAATTGAATATCGCTAAAAATAAATTGTGTGTTATTTGTACTAGCTTCTTAAGTGAGCATTTTAAAATCGCTAAAATTACTTCTAGCTAAAAATAAAATACCCATTCAGTCTTCGAAATTAAACGGTAGCCTGATGACCGAGGCTAGTAAAATCAGGATCGGGCTACCAAAAATTATTTACGCACATGCCCGATGGGCTAGTTAGTGAATTTCCAGTGGCGAATTTTAAGTATGATTCCTTTTATAAAATATCAAGAAGAGGCTATCCCAGGTCAGTGATTCACGAACAGGAGGGTTCTTCCAAAAGAAATAAAAGTTGGTTCACAAAATGAAGTACACAGAATCAAAGTGTCAGTGAAATTGGCTGGAAATCTGACCATGGACTGAATACACCAGTACTACGAATCACCGAAATGCCCCTAGGAATCACCAAAATACCCCTTATTTTCTTATAAATAAATAAAAGAGTAATAAATATATGATATCAACTGTTCTAAAACCTAGATACATAGTTTAAATTTTCATAATCTTACTGTACTAAGTATTTTTTTATTTAAAAATGTATGCATGTCACACTGTTGACTGATACAGCAAAGTGTTTAAAACAATTACTCAAAGTGGTTTTGAACGTTTAGTGATCAAATTGAATTAAATCAGAAATGCAAATGTGATTGCACTTATTAAATTGTCATTTGTTCATTTGTTATTACTCTTGAGTTGGGCTAGTAAAATTTTGTTTGGGCTACCAAATTTTATACTTTCACTTGCCCTACCGGCTTGTAGTCAAAAAAGTTAAGCGCGAAGACTGCCCATTTTTAAGGAGAAATCACTAAATTTGCATCTCGCTAAAATTTCCACTTATACGGTATTTTAATGAAAGATGCACTAGGCTGCAGCCTTATGAAACTGTATCTATTGACAGAACTATATTTTGTTAGCATAAACAAACCTTTAATGCTGTATTAAAATCCTCCACTAGTTTTACCCACTGTACAGTCTGTCTACAGAACTGGGATGCATTAGCTTGTAAAATCTTAGTCTCTGTGTCCAATTTCTTCTGATTTACGTAGGCCTGGGCAACTCTGGGTAAAAAGAAAAAATATAAAATTATTTTTTTTTTAATGCTGCAAAATTTAACCACAATGGACAATTATACAGTATGGTGTCCACATAGGGCCATTCCGCAAAGGCATTAGGAACAACACATTAGCATGAAGAAACAACACACTAACAGGTTGTTCTTAGTGTGCTGTTACACTTTTGCACATAGGACAAATTAACACATCATCATGCTAACACACATTTACACAACTTGCCGTTTTGTTAACACATAACACAAACTCAGCTAACACAACTTTATACAACATGCTGTCGCACTAACAAAGTCCATGCCATCAAGCTGACACAACTTTCACAATCTTTTGTGTGTTACCTCAATGGAATCCGAATGCTGTTTAAAGTTGTGTTAGACTGTTAGCATGATGGCGTGCTGTCTGTTAGAGTGATGGTGCATTATATAAATATTGCATGTAGATGGGTGTAACATTGAAAATTTTCACCCCAAGAAAACCATTGTCAAACGAGGCACAGCCAAGGTTGAAAATGGTTTTTGAGGGGTGAAAATTTTAAAGGTTACATTCAACTACATGCAATATTTGTTATATAAGACTGAATGTTTTATAAAAACAAGAGGCCCATGGGCCACATCGCTCACCTGAGCACTAAGGGTTCGAAAAAGTAGAAAATGGCTTTTTTATTGTAAAGTTTAAATCCAAAAGTAGTCCCATGACCAATCATGGATTTGCTACTTTTTAGAAAATGATTTTTAAAGAATTTTCCTATATATATCTTTAAAAACTTTGGTCAGCCATTTTGGCCCCGCCCTACCCCTGGGGGTCATGATTGGAACAAATTTGAATCTACACTACTTGAGCATGCTTCCATATAAATATGATGAATTATGGCTTTGTCATTCTTGAGAAGAAGAAGTTTAAAGAATTTTCCAATATATTTCTATCTAAAACTTTGGTCGGCCATTTTGGCCCCGCCCTACCCCCAGGGGTCATGATTTGAACAAACTTGAATCTACACTACCTAAACATGCTTCCATATAAATATGATGAATTATGGCTTTGTCATTCTTGAGAAGAAGATTTTTAAAGAATTTTCCTATATATTTCTATGTAAAACTTTGGTCGGCCATTTTGGCCCCGCCCTACCTCGGGGGGTCATGATTTGAACAAACTTGAAACTCTACTACCTGAGCATGCTTCCATATATATATATATATGATGAATTATGGCTTTGTCATTCTTGAGAAGAAGATTCTTACAGAATTTTCCTATATATTTCTATGTAAAACTTTGGTCGGCCATTTTGGCCCCGCCCTTCCCCCGGGGGTCATGATTTGAACAAACTTGAATCTACACTACCTGAGCATGCTTCCATATAAATATGATGAATTATGGCTTTGTCATTCTTGAGAAGAAGATTTTTAAAGAATTTTCCTATATATTTCTATGTAAAACTTTGGTGGGCCACTTTGGCCCCGCCCTATCCCCGGGGTCATGATTTGAACAAATCTGAATCTACACTACCTGAACATGCTTCCATATAAATATCATGAATTATGGCTTTGTCATTCTTGAGAAGAAGATTTTTAAAGAATTTTCCTATATATTTCTAATTATTTTCTATGTAAAACTTTGGTCGGCTATTTTGGCCCCGCCCTACCCCGGGGGGTCATGATTTGAACAAACTTGAAAATCTACACTACCTGAACATGCTTCCATATAAATATCATGAATTAAGGCTTTGTCATTCTGGAAAAGAAGATTTTTAAAGAATTTTCCTATATATTTCTATGTAAAACTTTGGTCGGCCATTTTGGCCCCGCCCTACCTCGGGGGGTCATGATTTGAACAAACTTGAAACTCTACTACCTGAGCATGCTTCCATATATATATATGATGAATTATGGCTTTGTCATTCTTGAGAAGAAGATTGTTAAAGAATTTTCCTATATATTTCTATGTAAAATCGGCCATTTTGGCCCCGCCCTACCCCCGGGTGTCATGATTTGAACAAACTTGAATCTACACTACCTGAGCATGCTTCCATATAAATATGATGAATTATGGCTTTGTCATTCTTGAGAAGAAGATTTTTAAAGAATTTTCCTATATATTTCTATGTAAAAAAACTTTGGTGGGCCATTTTGGCCCCGCCTATCCCCGGGGTCATGATTTGAACAAATCTGAATCTACACTACCTGAACATGCTTCCATATAAATATCATGAATTATGGCTTTGTCATTCTTGAGAAGAAGATTTTTAAAGAATTTTCCTATATATTTATTTGTAAAACTTTGGTCGGCCATTTTGGCCCCGCCCTACCCCGGGGGGTCATGATTTGAACAAACTTGAATCTACACTACCTGAACATGCTTCCAAATAAATATCATGAATTATGGCTTTGTCATTCTGGAGAAGAAGATTTTTAAAGAATTTTCCTATATATTTCAATGTAAAACTTTGGTCGGCCATTCTGGCCCCGCCCTACCCCCGGGGGGTCATGATTTGAACAAACTTGAAACTACACTACCTGAACATGCTTCCATATAAATATCATGAATTATGGCTTTGTCATTCTTGAGAAGAAGATTTTTAAAGAATTTTCCTATATATTTCTATGTAAAACGTTGGTCGGCCATTTTGGCCCCGCCCTACCCCCGGGGGTCATGATTTGAACAAACTTGAATCTACACTACCTGAGGATGTTTCCCCATAAGTTTCATCTTTCCTGGCACAGGTTCTGGAGAAGAAGATTTTTAAAATATGCCACCGAAGTTTCATTAATTCCCAATTATCTCCCCTTGAATGAGGGCGTGGACCTTCATTTGAACAAACTTGAATCCCCTTCACCAAACGATACTTTGTGGCAAGTTTGATTGAAATTGGCCCAGCGGTTCTTGAGAAGAAGTCGAAAATGTGAAAAGTTTACAGACAGACAGACAGACGCCGGACAAAATGTGATCAGAAAAGCTCACTATAGGAAAAGGTAACAGTGAACCGTGTGCGCATAAATTCTGCGCAGTCGCTATTTTTTGGAATATCACCCGTCGTCAAGCACTGTTGACTGTTGCTACGCTGGAGGGTGTGGCTTCATTATTTAGCGGGTAATAGTGTTTTTTAACAAATGTTTCTCGACCAATCAGATTCCACTAATTTGTGGTTTCTGGCTATTTCCAGTTGTAACAATTTACAGGTGACAAAAAATGTGAGACCCAGAAAATTTTTAGTACTGCTGTAAACAAGATGCTAAGAAGCATGTCATGTGATGGCTTGGATCATGTTTCAGGAATGGGCAGACTAATAGTAAAAGTGCACTAAAGCTAGAAGAGCCTACTATGAAAAAGAATTATCTCAAAAGTAATCCCTATTTAATTTTAACTATGTAAGCCATTCAACTTGTTGGCGAGCTTTTTGATCACTCCTGGTAAATTAAATGAGATTACAGGGGTGTGCAATTAGCATCGCCCGACGCCCGGGGCTACCACTTTTTGGGGTCGGGCTATTGGAGGTAGCCCGATGGGCTAGTAAAAATTATAACTCAATTTCTGTATTTTCACTCGTGTTTGCTATCAAATATGAAAATGACAACATGCTCCTACTCTCAATAAATCTCCATAATCTTATCTGTTTTGCAGCACTAATTATTTACTTCCAAAAACATCGTTATTTCCAATCGAATTTCCTCTATTCTTTCGTTTATGGTAAATATATGCAGATATCTCATTAAATTATTTACGATCACTCAATCAACTGAAAGATAAGTGTTTTATGACTCACATAAAATATATTTATAGTGTATTTAATGATTTAAGATGAAAACAAAATGAATTAAATTTCATTCTAAATGAGCTAGTGCAATGTTCAGAAAAAGAGAAGATAATTTATTTAAATTTATTTTAATCTTCTCTCATTATAATTTATACATGATTTAATTTCATAGTGAGAATTAAACTTTAATTTTAAAAAGAATGACCTTGACTTTTTCAACAATTAATTTCTTTTAAACGTATAGTTGTTTATTTTAATTTTTGCCCCTATATTTGGGCTATTCACTTTTCACTTGGGGTAGTAACTTTATAGCTGCCACTAGCCCGTGGGCTAGTTATTGATTTTTCTAATTGCACACCCCTGGATTATATTGTAGAAAGATGTTAATCACCCTCCATTGAGATGATCCACCAGGGCATGTGTCAGAGCTGTAGAGGCTATGATTGCCTCCTTCTTCCTCTTTTCTGAAAGCAAAAAACATAGTACACAGAAATGAAAAGTTTAATGATCATAAATAACAAATTCATGTATCAAAATTTAGACTGAGCAATGTAAAGAGGAAAATTCCTTTCTTGTCATATTGAGTGTTTCATATTACAGGATGCAGGTATTGATGTTTGAAAAAATGAGATTTGTTGTATTATATAGTCCATTGCATTTAAATTGAAAGTGCAATAATTCAGGGATAACTGTTAAAATTGAAAGAACTCCTTGGTGCTACAAATGGTTGATTTAATGTTTCCTTTTACTTCAGTGGGACTACTGAGATGGCGACTCCATTAAAAATATCAAATACCTGTATTTAACTTTTTTATTATTGAGTATTTTTAAAGCGATGTTTTGTTTATCTGTAATGTTTATCATACGTAAAGTGAAAGTAGATTTGTATAGTTTTCATGACAAACCTTGTCTTTCCCTCCTCGCATGTTGTTTAGTTTGATGTTGTTTGACAGCACTAGATAACATCACTATTTCTATTCCTACTTCCTTACTTGACAGTGAAAATTATCCTCGTGACATCATTTTCCTATATGTGCAAGCTATCCTCTCCTCCCCACTCGAGAAGACGAAACAGGAATGAAGTTATGCGGTCACGTCTTCCGCAAAAAAAAAGTGCATACTACCTTGTGGTAACTTTTTATTTTCGACTCTTGTGTTTTACTTTTAAATATATTGAACATACTGAACAATTTGTTTTGTATTGCTACAAGTTTTTTTAATCATAACTTTGAGATAATTAGTCAACAAATTTTGAGCCGTCCCACTATTGTGATATTCTTCCGCTTCACTAAACAGTGACATCTCGCGATTCCAGTTCTCGGACAGGTGCGAGACATTGGCGACATTTGCAACAATGGCTGTCCCATGTTTGTTGACATGGGAAAGACTGTTATTAATTTTTGGAATTGTGAATGTTCTAGGATTCAATGTGGATGTGAAAATGCCATTCATTAAGCAGGGACCTAAAAACAGTTATTTCGGATTTTCACTCGCACAACACAAGATCAATAGCACTCAACAATATTTGTAAGTCGTTTTTTTTTTAGCATGTCTTGCCCTTTCTGTCTTACTCAATACCCATCCCATGCATTCCGTACTTTGCATGAACAGGTGAAACGTATTACGTTTGGCTATGATCAAATCAAAATATCGTTTACGAACATATGTATGCATGAGATGATTGAAATTTTACCGAGATTAGTTAAATGTCAAATATTGAAAACTTTTTAAAGTAATTTGTGCTGCACTCATGTAAAAATTCTAGATGCAAACAGTGTTCACTGTCATTAAAGAGAGTTTAATGCTTTGGTAGGATTTGGTAGTTTATTCATGTTAATTAAGCATGGGGAGAACTGTAATGTAACAAGAGTAAAAATATACTTCAACATAAATATCCCAACCCTGACATTCATCTGTTTTGATGTTTAACATTAAAAAAAAGCATGGATAAGAACATGAATTGAAAAGTTTAAAATCATATATTGTGTGAAAAAAAAAACAATTCTTATCACATTCCACACTGATTTAAGCATGTTAACTATTGTAAATATGCTCGATTAGTATTATGAGTATGACACTTGAAAATAAATTTCTGAATCAAGTATAAATTTAAGATCGCAATGTACATAAATGAAAGCATCTGGGGTTAATTAATATAACAGCAGAATGTACTAGGACACTTTTGTCTGAAACTTAAAAACTTACATCAATTATTATTTTTATCCCTTGCCTCACAAACATGAGTGTATTGTTGCATGCATGTGTGAAGTACTTCATATGATTATAAATATTATATAAACGTAGTACTGTCTGTCACCATCTATAAATTCATTTATCTATCATTGAATAAAACCTACATAAAGAAATTTAATTTCTTAAAAAACATGACATTTTTAGATGAAAAACAAAGTCAATGTTTTTTTCCCACCTTTAATCTCAAGAGAACTGGGTACTGCAGTTATTATACTGTGTTACATCAATTTGTGATGCACATTTAATTACATTTTTAAAAATTACTTAATATACTTAAACCAGATTTTTTTTAACATTTGACCCAGTGTTTGACCCTAGGTCGTTAACCTGGTCAAGGGGTGGACATCTGATAAGGGGATCATCTGACATTATAGATCTCGGATAATTATATTGTCACCCTTTAACTCTAGATCTATAACTAACTATAGTGATCTGCATTTTGTGTGACCGACTCAGTGAAATGACTCTCAGGAGACATTCAGATTTATCAAGTAAGTGTCCACATCTCCCCACTTTGGGTATCCCATCAGGGGAACACATAGGATCCTCTTGACCTATAATTTGTGCTGTGATAATGTATCTGTCAGTATACCTCTACAATAAAAATAAGGGTTTGTCAAGGACATGATTATAATTAGGGAATTAAAAATGATGAGTACGTGTAAATAAAAAGAGGGTCCTTTAGGAATGGGAAGTATAAATATATATATGCAGGAAACTCGATAATTAAACATAAAAAGATTTGATGTAGTGGGTCAAGCAATGACATCCAATAACAACTTTGTTATGTCCAAAAATCCTTCTCCCCTATTCTTTCACTCTCTTTCTTTATCCCTGTCACATGTTTTCTCAATATAACAGCAGAAATGTGTGACAGCAATGCCTATCTTCCCAGCAGCTTTGAATTTTGTTACTGCACATGTGCTTATTAAGTTTACTGTTAGTATGACGCATTTTTGACTATGATGAAACATGACATGAATTTGTTTCGAGAACGAATAAGAAGTTGAGTTTTTTTTGCATGTCTCCAATGAATGCATCTTGGCAGCATTTTATTGATCTCTTAGCTGCTTTGACTGATTATACAGTCTGGAAGAGAGAGGGTAAATAGTCGGTAAAAGAACAAGCTCCAATCTATTGTTTTTCATCATCGTTTTTTTCTTGGTCAGCTGTTTATACTTAATTTCTAAAACATAAAGCTACAATTGCAGGGCTTTGATCCTAATTAATGCTGAGTTATTGGAGAGACCTGGGGCTGTTCCCCTTACCCAGCACAGGAGGTCCGTCTTAAACCTGCCATCCAGGCCAAAATAAAATTATAGTTTGTTTGGAATTGCCTCCCGCCTCATTGAAATGCCCCCTCCTGAAAAAATTTTATTGACCAAAAGTAGGAAGATTTTTTTTTTAATTTAATCAATTTTCTTTGCCCATTACATGTATCACATGCACCATACAAAACACTGAAATAAAGTGTCAGATCTATGTAAAATTAGGTTTTCAATTAAAAAAAAAATAATTTCCCTCCCTCCCTCCTGTGTCTGAAACCCTTCAGGCGGCAATTCCAAACAAACAATTTTTTAAAGATGGCCCCATTGGGAAATATACAATCTCATTACAGATAATCACTATGGATATCATCATATTTATTAGAGAATAATTTGCAGTTTGATTCACACAAAATTGTATTGCAATAAAAAGTGCACTCTTTTTCAGAAAGCAGTTACTGTAATTGTTAAGCTAGCCATTGCAATGTCCATCTTACATGTAATCGGTCAGAGTTTTGTCCCAAGAGTATACAGGTGTATATAGGTATATATTTCAGGGTTCTAATAGAAGACCCCTCTTCATTATTATGATATATATACATGTGGACCATGGCCAGGTTCAGAGCTGCTTTTACACCTCTAACACCTTTCCATGTCCCCAGTGGGACAAATATACAACCCAAAATTTATTGCAATAGAGAAATACTCCCCATCGGGTCTCTATAGTCATTGAAATTAACTTTCTTCGGATGTATTATACTTCATAGTGAATCTGAAATTCTTTCTTATTCATACTAGAGCTGGCTTAATATGTCTTGAGTGTCATCCTATCAAGCAGATATTGGATGACACCTTTTAAATGTTTTAAAATGCAGCGAGGTGTAAGAAATGTTTCCTAATGTGTGAGAGCGGCCATTGATAGGTAAGACAAGGTCATTGACTAGAGAGTCATCAGAGAGTCCGTCTAGGGGAGGTCCTACATCAACTCCTCTCCCCCTCAGGCAAAAAAAAGAGAGTAATTTTCTACATTCTTACCCATAGCAACACCAATAAATCAAAGAATATATCAACTGAAGGAAGTAATGCATTAGATGTGTGATTGTCTGCTTCATCAAACTTGCTTATGATATCTGTCAGATTTTTGTTATAGCCTTAATCACATAGGAAACATGCATATCAAGCATGGATATTTACTTGGGTGGAAATAAATCCCTGGATTTATTGATGCTGCTTTGAAAAAAAGAAAGCAAGAAAAAAATTCCTGTTGTAATAAAAAAAGCATTGTAGTCATTCTTGACAACTCGCAGCTTTCTGAGTCAGGCATTATTAATTTTCATTTGATACAGAGCAGGCTGGAGAAATACACAGTGGCTATTATTGCTGATTGAGGTTTGATTAAACACCCCTCCAGATCATTGCATTGGGAATGAGACTGCATTGTTCCCACAGCTCCATTAATTTGCTAACACACATGGTCCCCTCAATACACAGCTGATCCAATGAATCAATTAGGGTAGACATATAAACTATACAAGCTTCATATTACATCATCCTGATGTGTGAGATGAACAATAGAGGGGGTTCACATCACATCACCGTCACCACATAGTAGATCATCTGAGATTAAGTAGATAGCTTAGTGTCGGGTTCATTGGTGTTGTGTAAAAAGTCCATTGTCATAGTCATGCTTAAAAAATCACAGTGCAAGATATTGTGTGTTCATCTATGAGATGTATACACACATTATAGTTCATTTAATATTTTTTTGTACAGGAGAAAATTTTATATAAGTTTTCCAACCTTTACCTCTTATATTAGCAACAATAAGTTTATAGTTAACATGATTCATATTTTAAACTTTCAAAACACATAGTATAAAACATGGTAAAAGTTTTTTATGTGGTGCAGTAGGCTGGGGTGATCTCCTGTAAATAATTATGGTGGCTCATTAGTCATTAGTCATTGTTTTTATATTATTTGTCAGTAAAAGGAATGTATCATAGGTGTAGTTATGAAATAAACCTCAAGGTGAAGATTTACTGCTTTATGTAAATTATCAGAATGTTTACCATGTTTACTTACTCCCATACATACAGTGCACAACACCCCCATAGATTGTATTAACACCGCAGACTAGTCAACCAAACTCACAGATGTGTATTGTTTTAAGGCGGCAGGTCTAAGACAGGTTTAATGTGCGATCTCTCCTCCCATTGTTAGAGAGCTTTATCTGCCCCTATGATCAGGGGAACAATACAATTAGCACTTGAGGAAACATTCTTCAGTGAAATTCTTGACATGCTAATGCTTCTTATTACAGAGAATATTAAACTGCTCAGCGGTGTGTATATATATATACTACTTAGAGAGGAATAAAAGTTTTGATTGATAGAAGGGTTTTCAAGTGTTTTTTAAGAGGGTGCAGCATGTATTGTAAGCATGTATAAGAGATTAAGTTGCTGATTATAAAAGATAACATAAAGTGCTAATAAAGAGCAGTTGTCAAAACATTTTTTAAGTGTCTTTAAAAGTTTAATATCTGAAAAAAAAATGAGATTTTATTGAATAAGCTTTCATCAGAAAATATTTTGACAGAACAAAAAAAATGTTCCTTGACTTGTGTGGTGCTTAAGAACTCTAAAAGTTCCAGTATATTTACAACCATTCTTCTTTAATGAAACGAACACAAGGCAGAAGTAACAGAACATGTTTTGTTTGATTATATGTATTGTTTTTCTTACATATCCTTCCAATGTCTTGATAGTGTTAGCCCATAATCTCTCTCCCTCTCTCTTTCTCTGTTTAGGTATAGCTGAGGGTAAATTCAAATTTTAGAAGAATAAATGGTTTATAATTTCAACCCACTTTGTACTTGGACATGTACATATTAAATGCTGAGATAAGGATGTTCAAGATAATTATACATGTGCATATATAAATGCACAAAAATGCATAAATTGTCTGCACCATTGATTGTTACATGAAAGCCATAATCGTGTTCATTGGCTAATACTGTATACAGGGTTATTTTCGCCCTGTGTAATTTTCGCCCTTTCACATATGCAAACAATTTTGCCCCGTTTTAAATTCGCCCACTCATAGTTTTATTTAAAAAATTATGTAACATTATCAACAACTGTATTCAACTGTAACATTATCCCTGTAACATTATCAACAACATAGGTTTTAACATTATCAACAACGCACTGTAAATATCAACAACATAGGTAGGGAAATAAACTCAACTGTAACATTATCAACAACATAGGTAAGGGGGAACTAAACTCAACTGTAACATTATCAACAACATAGGTAAGGGGGAACTAAACTCAACTGTAACATTATCAACAACATAGGTAAGGGGGAACTAAACTCAACTGTAACATTATCAACAACATAGGTAAGGGGGAAATAAACTCAACTGTAACATTATCAACAACATAGGTAAGGGGGAAATAAACACGTCTGTAACATCAACAATATAGGTAAGGGGGAAATAAACTCAACTGTAACATAATCAATAACAAAGGTGAAATGTAACATTTTAGGTAAGTATTAACCCAAATGTAACATTATCAACAACATACCATAGGTCCTGAGCTGTAACATTATCAGCAACATAGGTAAGGGGGAATATAACCCAACTTTAACATTCAACTTAACATAATCAACAACATTAGGGGAAAATAAACCCAACTGTAACATTATCAACAATATAGGTGGGGGAAATAAACCCAACTGTAACATTATCAACAACATAGGTAAGGGAAAAATATGGGGGAAATATAACACCAGCTGTAATATTTAATCAACAACATAGGTAAGGGGAAATAAAACCCAACTGTAATGTTACCAACAACATAGGTAAAGGGGAAATAAACTCAACTGTAACATTATCAACAATATAGGTAAGGGGGAAATGAAACTCAACTGTAACATCAACAACATAGGTAAGGGGGAACTAAACTCAACTTTAACATTATCAACAACGTAGGTAAGGGGGAAATAAACTCAACTGTAACATTATCAACAACATAGGTAAGGGAGAACTAAACTCAACTGTAACATTATCAACAACATAGGTAAGGGGGAAATAAACTCAACTGTAACATCAACAACATAGGTAAGGGGGAAATAAACTCAACTGTAACATAATCAATAACAAAGGTAAGGGGGGGATAAACTCAACTGTAACATGTTCAACAACATATTAGGTAAGGGGGAATATAACCCAAATGTAACATTATCAACAACATACCATAGGTAAGGGGGGAATAAACTGTAACATTATCAACAACATAGGTAGGGGGAAATAAACTCAGCTGTAACATTATCAGCAACATAGGTAAGGGGGAATATAACCCAACTTTAACATTATCAGCAACATAGGTAAGGGGGAATATAACCCAACTGCAACATTATCAACAACATAGGTAGGGGAAAATAAACCCAACTGTAACATTATCAACAACATAGGTGGGGGAAATAAACTCAACTGTAACACTATCAGCAACATAGGTAGGGGGAAATAAACCCAACTGTAACATTATCAACAGCATAGGTAAGGGAAAAATATGGGGGAAATATAACACCAGCTGTAATATTTAATCAACAACATAGGTAAGGGGAAATAAAACCCAACTGTAATGTTATCAACAACTTAGGTAAAGGGGAAATAAACTCAACTGTAACATTATCAACAATATAGGTAAGGGGGAAATGAAACTCAACTGTAACATTATCAACAACATAGGTAAGGGGGGAACTAAACTCAACTTTAACATTATCAACAACATAGGTAAGGGGGAAACAACTGTAACATTATCAAAAACATAAGTAAGTGGGAACTAAACTCAACTGTAACATTATCAACAACATAGGTAAGGGGGAACCAAACTCAACTGTAACATTATCAATAACTGAATATAACATAAAATACCTTCAACAACATAGACCTACAGCTTTGGTTTTGGGGAAATATAACCCCAGCTGTAACATCTCTACAACATAAATAAAGGGGGGTATGAAAAAAATTAACCCCAGCATAACAATATCAACAACATATATAGTTAAGGGGCTTAACCCAATTGTAACATTATCTTCACCGAAAGTAAGGGGGAAAATACAATCAGAATGTATGGGGGAAATACAACCCCATCCTTAACATTATCAACAACATAGGTATGGAGGAATATGAGGGAAATATAACACCACCTGTAACATATCTACAAAGTAGGTAAGGGGGAATATGGGGAATTATAACACCGGCTGTTACATTATGAAAAACAATGGGGAAAATGGGTGGAATTTAACCCAGCTGTAGCATTACATGCAGTACATGTACTCTCATGAATGTACTAATCTACTTAGCATCATAATATTTTCCTCTGAAATTGAAAAGTGTTAAGCTAATTACTGAGAAAATGTACTAACTGTGTATATATGATTTGTTGTAGCGTCAGTGTTTGCAGAGAACAGCCACATATCAACCAATGACCAGTGGCTAGGGGGCACAGTCAGGAGCTCTGGGGATGGAATAGCCCTGGTAAGGAGTGAAATCCACTCATATGTTGGAAAGACATAAGCTCTAGATTTATTGTTGTGGTAGAATTTTGTTAATAGAACCTTATACACATGAAGACATCCTGATATTTTCACATCAAATTTCTTTTTCATGTAGACCATATTTTGTCATTTTGTAAAAATAAAAAATTCTTGTGAATAAAATGTGAATTTCAATATATTATTGTGGGATAATGAGATCCTCAGTCAGTGTGTATAGTATCATATAGTACATGTATATGCTTATGTTTTATAAGAAATAAAACTGCTGCAAACAATGATCGGAATCTTTTGAATTTTTTAGGCCTGTGCTTTTCGATACAAACTGAACTACAATCCGTTGGGAAGATGTGCCTCTTTTTCAAACACCCTTGAGCCTTATGGAGAAATCCGTCAGTGTTTAGACGATGGACGGGATAACGAGGGGACGGCGTACTGTCAGTCGGGAGTGGATGCTGTAGTGATGCCGGTCAGTATCACCGAAAAATTTTATATACTAAGTCGGTAATATAGTTAATTTGATGTTTCTCAGGTCCGGTTGCATTCATTTTGAGGTAGCTTTACTGCACATGCTATCATGATTTATGTACACTTAATTAAAATGAAAGAGTAATGTGCATATTAGTACCAGTGGACATCAGTTTATTTCATGTTCTTTCTTTTAGTAAACTTTGTGAAAGGAGAGAAGAAAAAGAGCAGAAGAATATCCTTTCGTTAAGGAGTAATATTTTTTGCATCTTTTTGTAGGATGAGGAGATAGTTCTAGGAGCCCCAGGATCTGTAGACTGGACAGGTAATTAAGGCAATTAATATCATGTAATTATTTCACTTATACAAAGTAAAATGCAGGCATTTTAGAAATTTTTATCTATATAATTTTTACGAGAGAGTAACTCTCTGCAATGAAGCATTTAATATAAATTGCTTTTGCAAATGGTTACAATTTAATCATGAGGAAATATGATTTAATTTGTTAAATTGTATTGCAATGAAGCAGATAAAAATAGCTTTTGCAAACCAAAAAGGAAATATAAATGTTAAATTGTGCATCTGTCTTTTTGAGGAGACAGGAAGACTCTGTTTTGCAGATGAATACAACAAAACCTTCCTTTTGAGGAAGTCATTGAGTGCTTTATGTTTTATATCCTTGTATCAAAGCTTTCTTTATCATATAAAAAGATGTAAAAATAAAACAAGGTTTTAACGGGATATAACTTCCTGTTAATGAAGAGTTCTTTAGAATAAAGTTCATCATAAATTTGGCAAAAATAAAGGCTTGTTTAACAAAATGGCATTTGCTTTATATAGATTCAAATCTCAAAATCATAACATTTTATTTGTCACATAGTGTTTGTAAAGTGTCATCAAATACATGTAGATGTAGATATATTTTTCTGTACTTTTACAGTTAACAAATGTGATTGCCTGCTTTGTAAATTTACTCATACCTCACACAGAAAAGAATATATGTAATTCTTTATATGAACAGTGTCAAGTCAATTTCATTATTGATATAGTAAAAAAAACACAGGCAGAGTAAATATTAAAATTTATTACATTTTTATCCATGAAATACTGTAATTTATTCATTGAATAAAAATGATATTCTGTCACACTGTGAAAGGATATCAAAATGATATCCTTTCACAGTGTGACAAATATCAGAAGTGAGGTAAATGCGTGAGATTTTCCATTCCATAAGGGAGAGTGTTGGGAAAATCTTCCTTGATCTGATATAAGATAGATAGAAGTAAAAAACCATCCTGACAGAAAATAACACTGCTAAAGTTATGTTGCTAAAATCCATGATTACAATGTTTTCACTTCACTTAGCTATGATGTCTCAGCTGTTCAACTATGATGTCATGTAGCCTTAGACTGTATTACAAAAAGACAGCTTGGCAAAGGTGGGACCTATGAAATTACTTTGCTATATCCGTAATTCGTTATTTACGTATAATGAATTGGTTAAATTTATATTTCTGGGGATCTAATATAACTTCGCTATATCCGTGAATTCGCAATATACATGTTTGTACTAAACAAGTTTTGCTGTAGAAGTTATTTCACTCATGAGACAGGAATTTTTTATATTTTCACTCGTGCTATGCACTCATCAAAATATTAAAAAAAAATCCTGTCCCACTCGTGAAATAACTTCCATATTCAACAACAAAACATTTAATATCCTCTATATATATTTAGGAAATTTAATAGTAAATGAATAATCTTGTATTTACAGGTCAGGTTGCCAGAATCTATATAACGGGGGATATTTCTCAGAGCTCCGCTATCAGAGACAAGTCCTGGAGTTACAGTCAGCCGTACCATGAAGAGGATAAACGTCCCGCTGTAGATAAACACTCATACTTAGGTAGGACTATTTTATAATTAAATGCACTTAGGTAAGGCTATTGTAGAAATGCCCTGCTATGTCAAACAGACATACTGTATATATGTAGGGTAATTGTAGAAGTGCCCCATGGTTGATAAATATTTGCATTTGAGTAAGAGTATTTTACAAATGCCCTATGATAAGTATAGCAAATAATCTGATTTAAGGAACCAATGCACAGAGTTTTACTGGACTATGAAGCATAATACAACAGTTATGGCTGAATGACTGTTGACAACAGTGTTTACAATGTTGTATATCTTTTGTCTAATAAATGTGGGAAAATTAATTTTCAAATGTTCAATGCAACCTGTAAATGCAACAGCTAATTCAGATCATGTTTATTTGTAGGCTATTCAGTAATATCGGGAAAATTCCGTGGATACCAGAGGAGAGTCTACATTGGCGGTGCCCCTAGGTCTAATTCCACTGGTCAAGTGGTCATCTTCACCAAAAGTAACAGTGACCTTGTCTACTATATCCAGAACATCATCAGTGGAACTATGGCATTCTCAGCATTTGGAAGTGACCTGGCTGCTGTAGACTTTGACAATGATGGGTAGGGTTTGACAATCTCCTTGTACCGGTATTGAATTACATACAGTTAAATTTAATTATCCCAAAGACCAGTATATCAAGTACCAGGGATATGTCAAAGTGAGTTGGCAGTATCAATCAATTTTTCCTTAATGTTTTTAGCTCACCTGAGCCAAAGGCTCAAGTGAGCTTTTCTGATCACAATTTGTCCGTTGTCTGTCGTCGTTGTCGTTGTCGTCGTCGTCGTTGTCGTCGTCGTTGTTGTTGTAAACTTTTCACATTTTCGACTTCTTCTCAAGAACCACTGGGCCAATTTCAACCAAACTTGCCACAAAGCATCCTTGGGTAAAGGGGATTCAAGTTTGTTCAAAAGAAGGGCCACGCCCTTTTCCAAGGGGAGATAATTATGAATTAGAGAAAAATTAATGGCATTTTTAAAAAATCTTCTTCTCAAGAACCACTGGGCAAGGAAAGATGAAACTCATGTGGAATCATCCTCAGGTAGTGTAGATTCAAGTTTGTTCAAATCATGACCCCCGGGGCTAGGGTGGGGCCAAAATGGCCGACCCAAGTTTTACATAGGAATATACAGGAAAAATCTTTAAAAATCTTCTTCTCAGGATACCACTGGGCCAGGAAAGATGAAACTCATGTGGAATCATCCTCAGATGGTGTAGATTCAAGTTTGTTCAAATCATGACTCCCAGGGCTAGGGTGGGACCAAAATGGGCGACCCAAGTTTTACATAGGAATATATAGGAAAAATCTTTAAAAATCTTCTTCTCAAGAACCACTTGGCCAGGAAAGATGAAACTCATGTGGAATCATTCGCAGATGGTGTAGATTCAAGTTTGTTCAAATCATGACCCCCGGGGCTAGGGTGGGGCCAAAATGGGCGACCCAAGTTTTACATAGGAATATATAGGAAAAATCTTTAAAAATCTTCTTCTCAAGAACCACTTGGCCAGGAGAGATGAAACTCATATGGAATCATCCTCAGATGGTGTAGATTCAAGTTTGTTCAAATCATGACCCCCGGGGCTAGGGTGGGGCCAAAACGGCCGACCCAAGTTTTATATAGGGAAACCTTTTTAAAATCATCTTTTCAAGTACTTCAAAGCTATGATTAGTGATATTAATATGGAATCATCTTCAGGTAGTGTAGATTCTAGTTTGTTCAAATCATGAACCCCTGGGGGGTTAAAATTCAAGCCCCCCCCCAGTAAACTTTCAGTTCTGATCTGATATGTGCTTTTTCCTAGCCAATGTGCTCAGGTGAGCGCTGTGGCCCCTGGGCCTCTTGTTAAGCATTGTTTTCTTGAAACTTAGAATATCTTGAAGTTGAATCTTGGTCCATCAGGTTCAAAATAACAAAGTTTGACTGTACATGTACATGTACATGTACATGTATATGTGAAGCATCTGAGATTTATTGTTTTTGCCTTCAACTGAATGTTGGCAAATTTATGTACATTTATTGTAAGACAAACAAGTGTAGTAAAAATTGGTAAAACACGTATGAAAAATGTTAAAAATGTTAAAATTTGGAATTTTGATGTGATGTTATTAGATATCACATTGAAAAGTAAATTTCAAAACATAGTTGAAGAATACAATATTTGGGGGAGGCATTATGACTGTTTTTGACATCTGCTCATTAAGTTCTGCGTTTTTGACAGGTATGATGAACTGGTTGTTGGATGCCCTCTTTACACCAAAACGGACACCACAACCAATATGTTTGCTGGAGGGGCCATTTATGTGTACAGTACTAAAACAAAGGTACTAATTTTGTTATAAAATGTACATATAATAAAAGTTAGTGTAATACAGTTAGTTAGATTCAGTGGAGTAAATTAGGTGTTTTCATTTCATAAATGTTTTATTTTCTTGTTTTAAAGGCTGGATTCTGCTTTTTAAATTCATTATTAAATTTTTATTTTATTTTCCATTCTCACCGGAGCTCAAGGTAGATCATTAGATTCTACTTTTGGAAATTCAAAGCTATATCTAAATATTCCAAATAGACAGAGGCTTAGAAACACAAAACTTTGTCATTTGATGTATTTTAGGTTGTCAGGGTACATGCATTTTAAGCTAAAAAGAGGTATAAATACACATATTGCTATCTAATTAAAATTAGATGTTAGATCTGCTCGCACACTCGCTACACTAACATCTAACAACATCCCATAAAGGGTCACGTCAGAGGTCAAATTCTATCAACTAATCAAATCCTTCCCTGCAAAATCATCATATATTGTTGAAGTGAATAAGTCTAGAGCTGTTCTGAATTTGACCTCTGACGTGACCCTCTATAGGATGTTGTTAGATGTTAGCGTAGCAAGTGTGCAAGCGGATCTTACATCTAATTTTGATTAGATTGCACATATTGGGGATAGCTTTGTAATCGTGTTTTGGTATTTTGATTGACAGCTGTCCTCCTACACTAAGCCCCGCCTGATCACCCTGGATATGGCGGAGAGTGAATGTGACAAAATGAAGTGTTTAGAGGCCAGGTTCGGACATTCCCTCTCCAGGGCCGGGGATCTAAATCTGGATGGATTCCAAGGTAGACTGTCAATCTAATACAGAAATGTTGTATTTATTGTTATCAACGACATAACAGAAAAAAAAATCCATGATGAACATTTCTTTTAGTAAATTAAAAGCATTATATTATCTACAGATTTGGCAGTAGGGGCTCCGTATGACAATTTTGAGCGTGGTGCTGTTTATATATTTCATGGATCAAAAACTGGAATCATTCCTAAATATGTTCAGGTAATTTAGCTTAACAGTTTTGCAAACACATATATATATCTGATGTATTTTGTGTTTACATGATTGTATAATGTGAAATTGTATTCTTGGATATAAAGTATGTACATGCAAATGCAGCTGTGCTATTTAAAGTTTTGTACACCTATATGTATATGTGGATGAAATAAGTACCTTTTCTATTTTTCAGAAAATCTCAGCCTCAGACCTGGATCCTGCCCTGCGGACGTTTGGTTATGCTTTGTCGGGAGGTCTGGATTTAGACCAGAATGGCTATTCGGATGTTACAGTGGGGGCCTACGCCTCAAATAAAGCCATCATGCTGAGATCCCGGCCCATTGTACACCTCTTCCCCAATGTCACCTTCAGCCCCAGGAAGTTTAACCTCAGTAGAGGCGTGGGTTGTCCTTATGACGACCCAGCCCTCGTCACCAAACCCAGATATTGCATGCTGTTGAAGATTTGCCTCATGTTCACTGCTAAACCTGAACAAAGGTACAGAATGATTCATCCACATGTACAGTGGTTAGGACTTATTAGAAATTATGTCCAGTTGATTCTCTCAATCTAATCTGAGGGAATTCTCACAAATTTTGCTCAAAGAAGTTGTATTTGCAAAAATTCATTATTTTGTCTTTTTTGTAAATTTTTACATCTTCTACTACTGTAATTTTTGCCCCTGTTTTATTTTCGCCCCTTTCAACGTGTCACAAGTGGGCGAATTTAAAATGGGGGGAATTCAAAGAAAACAGCATAAATTCTTAAACAGAACTGGGACTGGGCGAATTTAAAATGGGGCAAATTTGTAAGCAAGTGAAAAAGGGCAAAAATAACACAGGGCAAAAATAACCCTGTATACAATATTCATTTCCTTACTACTGTTTGGAAGAAGTTCTTTCAGATTCTTTGAGAAACATGTATGTGTATACATAGTTTTAAAAAAGGGGTATGGATTTCTATGAAGAGCAGTTTATGATCTTGTAAAATTTTGTTTTCTGTAGCTTTTCAACAGTTCAGAGTATTGATGTAAAAGTGGTGGCAGAAAAAGATCGGGTGGAGAAGCGAATCTTATTTAAAGGCGCTCCACAACCAGACATGGTGTCCTACACTCAGGACCTGGCCTACCAAAAACTGGAGGGCTGTCACAGTCAGGTCATATATCTCGCTGTAAGTATTCACAGGTTATAGGTCAAGCCTCAGATGGGGTAAATACTGTATATATATATTAACACTTCGAGACCACTACCTTATATGGAAGGCAATTTTCAACATGTGACAATGTTTTCGTCACACCCGTACTCCGATCAAGTGAATGAGTCCCAAAGCATGATAGTCTATGTTTATGATTCAATGGCGACACATGGTTTTTGTCCGTTAACTGCAAAATATTTACTTTGTCACCGGAAAAACCGTAGAGTTTCTATATCACTTTATAAGACCGAAATGGAAAGATTATATTCCAAAGACATTGCTCCATGCTCACATTTAATATTGGAGTTGTTATAGATGATTAATAGTTGCTTTGAATACGGTACAAATGCTTTGACGTTTGCATGTACATAAAAACTTTTTGATGATATTTAGGGATTGAAAAATAATTGCACACCTTGTATTACTGTCTAATACTATGAACATGTATATCGTGAAAAAAACCACACTCAGTGCTTTATCGACACGACAGCACCTATGTCTCTTTGGACAATGGTTTAAGCCGATTTATTATTGTTTATATAAGGCTTCATAAAGCAAATTTTGTAAATGTGAGCATAGGAATGAAAGATTATACATCATTTTAAATAGGGCTGTATCAATATATCGATATATCGATACGTATCGATATTCAACAAAAATATCGTATCGAAAAATTACTTCCAATACGTATCGGACAAGAAGCTTTTCTTTCAATTCTGCTAAAAAGATAGGAATTTTAATAAGCAAAGATTATATTTCACTTTTTTGAATTAAAACTGATCAATAATTATAGATTTATAAAAGAAAGAACACAGTTTTTATAGCTATTATAAAATACATAACAATGTTATTTTAACCTGTTGATTTTACAGTCATTAAAAATTTCGATTGGAAGTATTTTATTTACTGACTATGGGATAAGAACTTTGAAATGGGTAATAAAACACTAAATTTTTTATGAAATCCATGCATTAAATGATTAATGAGCCTTTTTTGATGGACATGTTTAAGAATCCAATATATCGCATATCGCTTTAAAAAATATTGTATCGTATCGTATCGAAATTTTTTGCTCAATACACAGCCCTAATTTTAAATATTTCTTTCATAAATCTAAAAAAATTAATTGAAAATAAGTTTCCAAGGGACAATTAAATACAGATATGTTCTTATTTTTGATATTTGTAGGACAATATCAAGGACAAGCTAACTCCGATTCAGATAGACATATCCTACAGCCTGGGAAACAAACCCGACTTCAGACGTCGGCGGCGTCGACAGGTCTTCACGGACATTAACAAGTTTCCAATCCTGATGATAGCCAATCAGACCGCAGAAACCTCTGTCACGTCATTCACAGAGAAGGTTTGTATCCTCTTACACAGATATTCAAAAACCTGATTGAAGGTAAAAAAATAGATTATTAAGGTTAAAAATAGTCAAGTGATATTTTTGATTTCAATTAAAGTTTGAATGCTTTGCAAAAATAAATTAGTCTTCTCATTGCTTTTTGTTCAAGGTAATTAGTACTCTGAATATAACATAATTGACAAACTGATCAGAGTTTAAATTAATTTTGTGTTTATTATGATACATAATTTCTTTCACCATATAAAGGATAATGATTGTATTTGTGTTTTCAGATTGATTTTGTGAAGAAGTGTGGTACAGATGATATCTGTCAGAGTAACATTAGACTTCAAATGAGTCTGTTTCCCCTGGAAAGGTATGTCATATACAGCCTACTCTTCCCTGTAGGAGAATAACACCCCCACACCCTACACCCCTTCTTACCCTCAACCCCCACCCCCACCAACAAACTTCCCCACCCCCACCTATACCCTCAACCATAGGAAGTCAATTCAAATTAAAATATATCAACAGAATACTGTGGAGATACATTTCATTTTTTTGTGTTGTGTCAAAAATTAAAATATTTTAAGTCCTCTCTTTTGTTTAATTGTGTTGGTTTCATTTCTTGCTTATTAAAGTTGGTATACATGTAAATGACAATATGTAAAAATTAGGTTTAAAAAATGAATAAATTCATGCATGATGCCATGTTCATGTAATATTTCTAAACCTCTTCTTTTATTTAGAAGTAAAATATTCTTGCGTTTAAGAGATTAAATTTGTAAGGTTACTTTTAAAGTAACTGAATATAAAAACACATCACTTAAATTATTATATTCCATATATTTTAGGGATGGAAATAAGTATGTGTTGAGTATTGGTGAAAATGACCTCTTCAAGGTGAAAATTACACTGACCAACAAAGGTGAGCCCGCCTACCAGCCCAGCTTTTACCTGGTTGTCCCCAAGGACATGCAGTACGCGGGCAGCACACCTGTCTATCCGGTACGTAGAGATTCATACAAAGTGTTTAAAATTAATAAACAAACTGTGAAAAATTTGTTCAAAATCATAAAATGTTGTTTAAATGAAATATTAAATTTTGGATTATTCAGTACATTGTATAACTTCATTTAACCTTCATTATGCAGTTCATTTTTTTTAACAAACTCCATGGGGTCAAGAAAAATAAAATTATTGAGATATCAGAGGAATTGAATTTGAGATTAAATTACATCAAGAAATAGATCAAGAAATAGTTGTTAAGACTTCTAGCTCACATTGACATATCCATGGTATTTAACACATTGATATTTGAGATACAGAAGCTCATCATTAAATTAATGATTGTTTTGTTGTTTTACAGCCTGGACTGTCACCTCCTGCATGTATCAACATCAACACAACAACTATATTTTGTGAGCACACCAATCCATTTGGAAACTCTGTTAAATCTGACGTCCGCACTGAGTTTAATATTGAGCTGGACGCCTCGAATCTACCTCTCAACTTGTCAGATTTCACCATCAGGGGTCTCTTCAACACGTAAGTCAAATTTCTGTAGATGTGTCTCTTGATTAGGTATGTTTTTCAACACACTTTAAGGGAAATAACTCTTCCATATCACTGCTAATACTCATTCTTCATGTTACATTAAAATCTCATATTAACTTTACAACACACTTAAAGGGGAATAACTCTTCTTCTTGTTCCTTCTGAATATTTGAAGATGGAGAACAATTATATGTCATGGGAAAGATTCTGAAATGATTTTGTGGCTATTTTTTCAGTACAAGTCAGGAGCAGTCCCCAGATAATGATGAAGTCATTCTTCAAGTGAGGATGGTTACAAAAACAAACATCAGAGTGTTTGGGTAAGTAAATAAACCCCACCCTCTCAAAAAAAAAATCATCACCTCCAAACTTTTCTAAGAGGAAATTTAGAACTTAACAATATTTATGTAGTTTATAACTCATTTTTTAGCTCACCTCAACGAAGTTGGGGGAGCCCCCCCCCCAGGTTAAGGTTAAGTTTTTTGGAGCAGTTTTCCTCTATGTCCTATATTGAAGAAAAAGATGGTTCTAGTGTGTTTCATTGTACCAGTCAAAGTTTCAGATGCTACAATTTCAGCAAAGGAATGACCAGGTTAATGTTTTTGGAGCAGGTTAACATTTTTGGTGCAGTTTTTGGTGTAGGTTTCATTTCCAAGTAACTATAAGCCCTATGTTGACCAAACTTGCATGTATGATACATCTAAGGATAACTACCAGGCTTGCTTTTTAATCTGACCTACATTTTACGGTTGAGTGAACAGGTTAAAGTTTTTGGTGCAGGTATCATTTCCAAGTAACTATAAGCACTATGTTGACCAAACTTGCATGGATGATACATCTACGGATGCATACTACCAGGCTTGCTTCGGATGCTGAATCTGACCTACATTTTACGGTTGAGTGAACAGGTTAAAGATTTTGGTGCAGGTTTCATTTCCAAGTAACTATAAGCCCTATGTTGACCAAACTTGCATGGATGATGTATCTAAGGATGCATACTACTGGGCTTGCTTCGGATGCTGAATCTGACCTACATTTTCCGGTTGAGTGAACAAGTTAAAGTTTTTAGTGCAGGTTTCATTTCCAAGTAACTATAAGCCCTATGTTGACCAAACTTGCATGGATGATACATCTAAGGATCCACCTTGAATAAAATGTGTTTTGTTATCATTTTAACTATAAGAGCCAAACTAGCATGGATGATACATATAAGGATGTATACTACCAGGTTTGCTTCGGATGCTGTATCTGACCTACATTTTCCAGTTGAGTGAATAGGTTAAAGTTTTTGGTGCATGATTCATTTCCAAGTAACTATGAGTTCTTTAATAATTAAACTTGCGTGGATGATACATATAAGGATGCATACTACTGGGCTTGCTTCGGATGCTGAATCTGACCTACTTTTTGTTGATGAGTGAAAATGTTAGTTTTTGATGCATGTTTCATTTTCAATTAACTATGACAGCAAACTTTTATATTTGCACAAAAGTTAATGAAAATATTTTAGTAATACATAGTTATGGGTGTCTATTACCAAAAAACTATAAGGCTTATATAACATTGTATAAACCAAACTTGCACAAATGTTGCATCAAGAGATGAAAACTCTCAAATTTGCTTCAGATGCTGGATTTTAATTACATTTTCATGAAGAAGAACTTGTTTAAATTTTTTATGTAGTTCTATTTCAAAATCAGATTAAAATTGCTTAAATATTTTCATTTTTGGAATGTACACTTCTTGTTGGTTAATTGTGTGACTTTGCCTTACTTAAAGACAACATTTGTTGAGGTGAGCTCTGTAATCTCTGATTACCTATGTTTTTTCCAGGGAATTGAGTTAAGGAAGATGCAAGGTTAAGTCAGACAGATTAAAAATCTTACATAATCCACCTTGAATAAAATGTGTTTTGTTTATTTTACATAGAGAGGCGGAGCCAGCTAATGACGTCATCTTTAGGGGCCCCATACGGGGAGCAAGTGCGGTGAAGCATGAAGATGCTATTGGACCAGCTGTCAATCATACATTCACTGTAAGTCACCCAAACAGACTTTTATATTTGCACAAAAGTTAATGAAAATATTAGTTACATATTTGTGAAAGTATATTCATAAATTAGAATTTAGAAATAATTTTTATAGATGCTATTAACATTATATTTTATATTTAAGTATAAAGTATTTCAGTTAATGTTTAAGAATAAAATGCCATAGTACACACAGTAATACCTGTAGAGTCTATGTTTGTCCAGCATACATGTACATGTAAATTGTACATTTAATTGATAGAATGACTTGTATGTTAGATACACGAGGTGATGGAACAGGTGTAAAAGTTTTCCAATTCATGTATTCTCTTCTGATCTTGGAGATTTTAATGATATGATTTTTAGCATTGCAACAGTTCACTGATCGCAAAGACTGTTTCAATTATCTATGAATGAATATGCTTGGCACATTTAAATGAGGAAGGTTTGTTTCGTAGGTGTACAATGAGGGTGTCGGTTCCGTGGGATCTGCTGTCCTAGATATTTTCTGGCCGGTGGAGAAGGACCCTGGGGATTATGAAGACGGGAAACATCTTTTGTATCTTATGCAGACCGAGGTAAGAAACCATGTAATAGGATTCAGGGGTAGTTAGCATGGAGCACAAGGTGGATTGACCAATTGACAAGGGATGCTCACCCCTCCATGGCACCTGATCCCACCTTCAATTTTTTGGAGGTCATGTTTGCTCTGCTCCAATTTTATATAGTTTAATGGACTTTTGAACTTGAAAACTGTTCGTTTAAATATCTGCGTATATTTTATAGACTAAAGCATACTATGGATTCTGAACAGCAAGTGAATTGTGTGTGGTTAATAGTATGTGTGACTGGAAATATTAGAAGGATAGATGACAATGAACTGTATCATGTATCAAGGATAGGAAATTAGCATTAACACTGTGGGAGATAGTTCATTTGAATGGCTGGGATAGTTAGGAATGGTTGAATTATTTATGGGGGATAGTTAATAAAACAAATAGTTTATATGGAATTGATATATTGTATCACTTGAATAGTTTTGTTGGATCTTATCTAATACTGGAGATAATTTGCACCAAATTTTTTATATGGTATGAAACAAGTAATAGGAATAGTTCAAATGATATATGAACATGCTGAGAGTGACACAGATTTAAAATAAAATGAGAAAGAGAAAAAAGTCCCCCCCCCTGAAAAAAATAAAATGATGGAGTTCAGTTTCAATATTGATATCAACATTTAAAACCTAGGAAATAAAATTCTTTGAACTAAAAGTATGAGAATTGTTTATTTTTGTTTTGAGTAAATGTTTGTTGTATGTTTTTTTTTCAGTCTCTGGATCGGTCCAAGGCCCAGTGTACTCATGATCCTCAGTATTACAATGTTCTACAAGTCACAGTATGTACTAATGTCATGTCAATGATAATTTCTCCTCTGTTTGTACAATGCTGCATTACACTATATTATGTCAAATAGCACAGCTGGACCATGCACGGCACACACACAAAAATGTGCTGAGTTATGCTGCACAGTTATAGCAAGACCCTATATTGCTTTACAGTTTACGACACAAAATTAAATACCCGCAAAGGATTCTGCTGTGCATTTTTTTATATATTTACTGATTTAGGCATTCATTCTGTGCATAGACTTGATGTTGCAACGTCATCATGTAGACTATTAAACCTGGAAGTATACACTCATAAACATATTAATTAGAAAACAGTATAGTGCAAACATTTTTCTTGGCACTGGCTAGAAATTTAAACCTATCACTTTGCTAGACTTGCCATAAAAATATTGTACTCTATCTGCTGTGATCGCAAATCCAATATTTACCTGCTTATTGTATATTACACTCTGTACAATAACCTTTTTTTAATTTATATCATACAATATATACAAATCTAATTCTGAGTGGCAATAATGTAAGTGTATTCTTTATAACAAAATGTCATTCATCTGATTTCTCTGGAAAATTTTTAAATGTCTTTCAACTTTGTGTAATTGTCAATGAATATCAAGAGTTAGAGAAATTATTTACTTTTGAGAATTGAGATTTTGGTGTCCATCCTGAAAATAGCAAAATTTTAAATGATTGTTTCACCTTATCCATTGTTAATTTGCTTTATACATTTTTTTCTGGAATACATTAATTAATTAATTAATATTATGATATTTATAAAACTGAACAATAGTCACTAGTTTATAATGTAATTTATTGTTGAATTGGTTTCCATAGAAACACTGCTTTACTGATGAGCCAATTAGATTTTGATCAGTACTACAGCTTCCTTCCAACCATTTGAACAATGCAAAGCCATTAAAAAAGATCCAATTCAAATACACATAAATTTTGATAATTTTATCTCAAATTGGAGGAAGCTTTGGTATTGTTTGGTATCTTAGAACTGTTTCACAAACACAGTACAACAAATATCAGCATTGAAAGCTGTTGTCTGAACAGATAGTAAGATATTTTAGTAACAAAAATAGAAGGTAAATATTTTATCAGCAAGAGAAGAAAACAAAATTTACCACGATTGTTGTGTATTGATTGTTGTACTGTTTGTGAGACAGGTCATATGGGTGGATCTAACTTTTTGCTGGGTGACTAACTAACCTATATTTTTCTGTTGCTTGCCTACTATAGGAAAACGCTGATCTTATCATTCGACTACCAGTAAGTTGTACTCTTATGACTTTTATCATGTTTTATTGAGATCTTGGTTAAAATTGAAATGTAACATTAAAACCAACACTGCCTTTTTGTATTTATTGAACTGAATTTCCGTTTTCATCTGAAACATGGGGTGTATAATTAAAAGAACCACCATAATTAAAAAGTGAGAAGGAAAACAAAAATATATGTGACTTGTTTTGATTATTTTTTCTATTGAATTCTAGACCCTGTGGGGCTAATGAGACTAAGTTGTAATAGTCCATATTTATTCTGAAACGTCTGTCCAATCTCATAATGATTTTTTCATGTTAGAATACGTTGGTTTTAATGTTACATTGTACCAATAGAGAGTCGTACTTGTAGAAATTGGAATAAAAACAGTGAAATTAGCCATTTAGTGGTATCTAGAGGATATTAAAGGTCTTATGCTTATTGAAATTAGATTAATTTATGTTATTAATTTTATTAAAACCAATTTTTGCCAAAAAACATTAAATTAACTTTTAAGATATTTGAAGGAATATGTTAAATTTTACTTTCCTCTTGTTTTTTTTATACGCCCGTCTTAAGACGGGACGTATTATGTTATAGGCTTCGTGTCCGTCCGTCTGTCCGTCCATCCGTCTGTCTGTTAGCTTTTTCGTTTCCGGCTCATAACTTTAATACTACTAGGCTTAGGATTATCAAACTTTGTCATCTGATGCATCTTGGGTAGAAGGTGTGTCGCGTACAAAAAGTAGGTCGCTCTGACCTTTAATTAAGAAGTTATAGCCAAATATGGAAAAATCCTTTCCGGCCCATAACTAGAAAACCATAAGACCTACAATCGTCAAACTTGGCCAGTTTATGCATCTTAGGTAGAAGGTGTGTCGCGACCTATTTCAAGGTCACTGTGACCTTTAATTTAAGTGATTTTTTTAAAAAAAAATTTGTCTTTTTACTATTCATTTACACATCCCAAATAATGTAAGAGTCTTGCACTGTCCTTATTAAAAAAGTGTTAAATCAAGAAAATACTTATTTTTTCTAAGCATATACTTGACAGCAATCTATAACAAATATAATGTATGTCAGAGAAATCCTGCCTCTCCCATGAGTGTAATTATCAAGCACTGGTCAAGAAGAATTTTGATAACAGAAAATTGCATGTCAAATTAGAGAGAAATTAATGGGTTTTGAGTGCGAGGAGCCAACTGACAGAGCATTGCTGTTATCTATATCCCTTGAGTATTGGGCAAATGGGTTGTTTGATTAAAAATAGCTTTTGTTGACTAGCTTAAGTTTTAAAATGAATTTGATGAAAAGTAATTAAAACTAATTTGATTTGCATAATAGACTAATCTGATATTATGTAATATTATTAATTTAAAAACTAATTTTATGGGGTGGGATGGAATCAAGCATGTCCATATGAATTAAATATTAAAACCTGTCGGGCATTAAATCTCAACCAAAAAAAAAAAATCTTTGAGTATTTTGTATGTTTTTAAAAAAAAATTATAGTAGATAGTGCAGACCCATTCATCTCTTGGTAGTAAAGAGTAGACAAGCATTCAGTTAAAGATTAATTAATGAGTTCAATGTTGGAAGGCTAGCTGTCTCAGTCGCTCTGATTAAGCTGTACCCTTTGGGGATTAGACAGAGGAACTGTTGGTCATTTGATGGCCAGCCTTTTCTTTTCAAAATTAATTTGGTATAGATTAAGTTGTTAAGACTAATTTGATGATGGGCATTTGACAAGGTCTAACACAACCAGCACAGAAATCTTTCGGTGATGTAATATTTATTATAATTGATGCCTACATCACAGGGGATGGATAAATATTTTAAGGAATGGAAAAATCATCAAAATCCTAGAATCAAGGTTGATGTGATTTTCTTGTACCTAAACTGTTCAAGAAAATTGTGTAATTTTTTGACGGGCGTATCATGCTGTGGCGCGGCACTTTTTTTAACTACAGACTGCATGCAATCAAATATTCAAATCTCATTTAACATTGATTTGTTACGGCATTTGTTACTGATACCTTAAAATGGTGATGGAAATAAAAATCAATAAATATAAAGTCATCTACTTTACATATTTTTTTTTCACTGTGAGAAATGCAGATTTGATTAAAAAAAAGAATTCACCTTAAAAACTATTGTTTATCAGAGATGAAAAGAATCTACGGAACAAAATTTTATGTAATTGATATTTTTTGATCACAGCCATTGATGCAATCTTTATGATGTATGTAATTGAATTAATATTTTTTTGATTATAGACATTAATGCAATGTCTGTGATGTATGTAACAATAAGAGCTTGTCATTGTGATGGTAGGTTAAGACATCCGTCGTGGTGAATAACGGGGAGGGGCCGACGTACAACACCCCCGACACTCGGCGGAGACGAGAGATCGGTAATGAGGAACCATCGACCACGACACAGAAACCAGGCCGAGAGTCCCCCTCAGGGAGGAACATTATCAAACTGGTAAATAGAAACGACATGATTAAATTTTATTCAACTAATATCAGATAATGAAGCATTACTTTTGTAATGGGAGATTAACTGATGTATAAAAAAGAAACAATAAAATTTTTTCTAATTAACACTGTAAATGTATTATATTAGCATTTATAATATTTAGTGGAAATTCATTTCTGAACAAGTTAGCGTAGAATTAAATCGAAACATTTCTCAATGTTCTTATTTGTGTACATGTGTGCAATACATTTAGCTTTGTACTTGAGTTAGCTGAGGCTTCTCTTAAAGTGCTAGAAAGAATACACAGCCAAATGTAATACATTTACAGTATCAGATAATGAAGCATTACTTTTGTAATTGGAGATAAATTGTTAAAATTCATTGTTATCTGAAAAAAAAGTGATAAAATTATTCTATATTTCAGAGCTGTAAGGACAACACAGCCAAGTGTATTAGAATACACTGTAAGATATTCAGGTTGGACAAGAAAGAATCAGCTAAAATTGTGGTACGAGCTCGGCTGTGGGAATCCACCTTATTACAGGTACATTGCAATACCATCATCACTTTGTGAGTGAAAGTGATTCATCATAACATGAGTTCATTTGGTACTTCAAGTTCCAGAACGTCATATTGAAGAAAAAATTAATGAAAGAAAAAATTTCTGTAAACAGGGAAATTTTTGCCCTCATTTTATTTTCGCCCCTTTTGCCCTACTCTCATTTGGGCAAATTTGAAATGGAGTGAAATTAAATAAAACAGTATAATTTCTCGAATAAAACTATGACTGGGCGAATTTAAAACGGTGCAAAATTGTCTGCAAGTGTAAAAGGGTGTAAATTAAATGGGGCAAAATAACCCTGTATACAGTATAATTTTTTACCCCCCAAAAAAGTTTGAAATTATAATTTCACAATTTTTTAAAAATGTATTTCGGATCAATCTGCCAAAATGTATTCTAAAGAGTGACCCTTCCTAGATGAGTTGTTCTATACAGTATCCTCTCTCTGTATTCTATAGGATTATCCAAATTCAGAAGTCCAGATCTCTTCCCTGGCCAGAGTGACCGTGTCACCAGATCTCAATATTTTCCAGGACACGTCAGACGATGAAGGCACTGTGAGTGAAAAAAAATCAATCAAGCATTTTTTGGGGGCATATTTGAAAAAGTCGAACTAAGTAAATCTTACACATTTGAAAAAAGTTAACAAAATACACTGTAAATCAAAAATTTTATTTTTTCTTAATGTATTTTCTTGGTCCTTGGCATTCTGAAGAAATTAGATTCAGTATTTCTCCAAAACTTAAGGGACTAAACAAATTGTTTGATTGATATTTTTTATTTTGCTTAAGGCTACCACATATGCTGTGCCAGAAGTCAAACCCTCAGTGAAGAAGGAACTACAATGGTGGATCATTCTGGTAGCCATTGCTGGTGGAATAGTTTTGTTAGTAGTGCTCATCTTAATATTCTGGAAGGTAAATTTTAAAATTTACAAAATCTTATATACGTGTAATTATACTTATAAAATTGATATTAGTATACACATAAAAATGTACATGCTGCTTTTGCAAATTCTTGTCCAGGAATTTTTGTCAAACTATTATGTACGTATTAGACTCAAATTTAGCCTCTTTAGGCAATGGTGAGGCACATGAGGAATCAATTTTTTTCTTTGAGGAATACTGTACAGCAACTTTTATTCAAGTTATCCTTTTATTCATGATTTATCAGCTTGTTGGTGAAATCAAACTGCAACTATTAATTTTCACAACTGAGGAAACATTTTCTACAATTACAAAGCAAAATAAATTGTTCCTGGCAATTAATATTCACAAGATAAAGTATGACACAAAACTCGCGATATTTCTCATATGCAAGTTTTACAGTTGATAGTAAGAAAACTTAAAATGATCTTGGTCAAGATATTAAGAAGTAATGTGGTCCATAGGCATGTTGTTTTATAATTTTAAATTCACATATTTATGAAATGTGTTTATTTATCTTTTTAGTGTGGATTCTTTAAGAGAATAAAACCCAAAGACTATGAACCAACTTTTCAAGGGGAAATAAAAAAGACGCCAAAGGATTATGACAATGTAGAGTAAAATAGGATAGGACCTTGTAGCTAGGAATTTATCAATTATAGGGTGGCTCCCTCAACAGCCCAATTCTCGCCAATAGAGAGAGAGACAACATCAGCTGGTCCGTCCCAGAGTTAGTCCACGTATCAGAGTCTGGATCCTGTATAGATTGTATGCAATACCAAGTCAAGCGGCTTCCACACATTTTTGTATTGCTTCTGAGCTACATAGATTATCATGATATGATGTCTGAAGTGCTGAACAAGGTTTACACCAAAACTTTGCTAGATTTTACTTTGTCAAGAATATAAAAGGAATCTTGATGTTTTCAATTTTTTTTTAGAGTGGTTGTCAAGTAAGTAAATTAAAAATTGGAATTTTTGTAACCATTGTATTTTTTCATTTTTAAGTATACATTCTCTCTGTATTTAATGAAGAAAGTTCATTTATCATGTTAATGCTATTTTGTGGTACATGTACTCCTCTTAAGTGCTCTATAGTTTACACGGAAATAAGGCAAAACCATAGAGTGTTTGCTCCAAGAAGTAGTTGTTTTACTTTGGTTGTGATTTTTTTTATTTTATTTGCTCTTCGTGTTTTTACAATGCTATGTAGGAAACAAATTGATGAAGGTTACTTAATGACTGCATGTATTTTTTCTGTTTAGCACATACAAAGTTATACCATTACACTTTTGTATATGTACTCCTATCTGGTTTTCCAGATGCATGTTTATATATTTGTAGATTTTAGCGATATCCTCATAAATATGCAATTTCTTAGAGAATCAATGTTCATGTATATAACCTAGGATCTTTATTTAATTCTGTAAATGATGTATGTTGCCTTTTCAGTTGTAAATTTCTTAAATTTGTTAAAACTATTTCAATGCATTCCAAAACCATGAAATCAAATCATAAAAAAAACTTCTTTTGTCTGTTACATGTTAGCAATCTTTTCCACTGTTAAAGTTTTAAAATGATAAACACATATTAAGATATTTTTTCATCCATCACTTGGATGAAAAATCCAGTAATAAATTAAAATAGTTTTATATTTAATTGTATAGATGTGGATGTTGAGTGTAGTATATACTCAACCATAGGACGAGATATTTTAACAACCACATATTAGTTGAATGTGTCTAGGTTTTATTGAAGTTACTCACAATAAGAATTGATGTGTTATGTTGTTAGGTCAGTTTTACTTAAAGATATGTGTTCAAATTGATATTAAAGAGAACTATGTTTTGATGTGTGTTCTTCAGATAATGTAATAAACTGTGAATAACAATTGTAAAAAAAAAAAAAAATGTAACTACACCATTACATTTACTGTGACATGTTTTAACAAGCACTCTCTTCAAGTACTAATACCTAGATCCACACAGATTCGTGTATCAGACCTATAGTGAACAAACCAGTCTTTTTAATAAACATTTTTGATTAACATTGAGGATTCATTTTCAAAATGTCATGTCACCAGGTGTACGTGTATGCAGTGTTCAGATTAATACTGCTTTATCTGAATAAGCAAATGGCAGAATCTATATGTATGCAAAATTTGTAAACTTTATAAATGTATGAAAGTGTACAATTTTAATAGAAATGCAGATGTAATATTTTTAGAAGGTTGCTGTTGAATTTTTCATGTGATTATTTATTAATCTTTATATGAATAAAGAGAAGTAAAATAACTTGCAGGGTTACCTGTAACAACATGATTCTATATGCATAAGGCCCCATGTACAAGGTTTGTCCCAAAAAGTCTTTGACAATATTTTGTAACTTCAACCAATACTTTACATGATTTTTCCTTTATTAAAGTGCCACTTACAACAAATCTTGAGTAATTTACTAATGTTTCACTGTAATTGCATTTGCCTCTTTAGTTACTTATAAAACATCTTTACCTGAAATTTATTTCAGTTCATCAGAAAAAAAATCTGTGCAATCTTTTGGGACAACCTTTGTATGCATATATTTTGAGTAGAAAAGGACTGTGTGTTTACTAACACTATAAATGACTGGCATTTTTTGATTTAAATATATATGTGTTTGTTAACACTTGCAAGGATCTGATATTTATAAAAACACAGTTCAAAGAGAGAAAAAGATTTAGATAGGAAACATTTGCTCAGGGCCCTTGTAATTATATCAGTTGAAATTATTCCTCATTCTTTAAGTGTGTGGTTGTAAAGTCAGAAAGTAGTTATCTGTGATAAATAATGAGCCTTTAGGCTGTCAATAGTGTCTTAGAGGCCCACAGAGGGGGTCTCACAGTGTCTTACAGAAAACTACAGCATTGAGTGTTAATTACTAATGTGATTCCGTAATTCCCTCTGTCTAACAGAGTTTTAATTAATAAATAGCTTTAATTATGGCAACTTTTAATTAATCATGTTCAATTCGTGTCTGATCACTCTAACCTTCAGTTTTTTTGTTTCTCTTTAGAATGATTCCAATGATTTGGTTTGTATCTTATCTTAGAAAATATTTGAATTTAATCATTGTATGAAATTTACTTTTCTTTACATTTTTCGGGTTTGTATTTACTGACATTCTTTACATGAGCTTAAAACATGTAAACAAGGTCTTTGGTACCCACAATGCATTTGTAGTTATTTATTTACCTTGACAAACTATGGAATTTTTAAATCTTTTTTTTATATTGTTAACCATCATAAAATATTCACCCATGTCGACTCAGTTATATAATTCCATTATCTCCATTTTAGATCATTTTGAAAATGGCTAGGAAGTGTTGATGTAATGATCTTTCACATACATGTACAAAGTGGTGATATGCATATAAGTAAAACAGGATGATTATGAAAACAATCAATGATTATAATATAATTAATTAACGGTGATGGACAAATATTAAGTCCTGAACAAGTGGAATGTGATATATATAATTTTAGAATGCATATTTCATGTCATGTATATATCAAACACATTGTATTATTTACATGAAATATAACCATGCAATGCTTATATATAACCTATGCTTATGTATGCTTCTCATGAAATGGTGCTGAGTTTTGTTCATTAGTATCTAGAACTCTTCCAGTTACAGTCAAGATGAAATAGTTGTAAAGACATAAAAATAGCTATTTTGAAATTATTTTGAAGAAGAGTAGAATTTCTAGTAAACAAATACCTTGGTCCATGACGTGATTGCTGCTGCTTTTGAGATAGAGTTCTCCACATATTCGGCTTCGTTAATGGTGTGTCGGTCTACATTCCACCCCTCCACACCTTACCCCATCCTACCCCTAGCTCATTTTTTACATAATGTAAGGTCTTTCCTAACCGTTTAACCCCTCCACACCTTACCGCATCCTACCCCAGCTCATTTTTACATAAATATGATTTTTTCCCAAATCCCTTGATCATTCCAGCAAGTAACCATTCAAGTGTATATATAATTGCAATTTTTTAAAAGTAATTCCTCAGAAATCAGTATCCCCCCCAAATACCCCCACGTGCCATACATGTACCCCTGGACCGACCACATTAAATAGCTTTAATAGTGTAACTGCTGTGTGTTTGTGAAGAGATTTTGTACTTTCGATCAGTTAGTTTTGATTACTGCAAATGAATTGTAATGTATGTTATCAAAGTCAAATCTGGATTAATTGGGTTGTATAAGGTTTAAATGTGAGTGTGAATGGCTGCTTAATGCTGCATCCTTATTTGTGTAATGCTTAGCTTGTTTGCATATACATTTTTTTCATATTGATTATTAGTACATCTAATTAACTACTTAATTGATTTAAGTTCATGTATATCAAGAGAAAAGATTTTGTTTTTTAAAGGAACTTAGATGTAGTTGAAAGTTAACACTGCTAAATAAGTGCTAGCTAATTAATTTCAGACAGTCAGAGAAGTGATAAATGTAGTTTTTATAGGTACCCAGTGAATCAGTTGGGTTCTATGGCCAGTGATTTACACATGTAAAATTATGTTCATCTCATTTTGATCTCGGATGAAATATCTTTACTCAGTAGTTGTGGTGAAAATTCTGTTAATAAAGATAAGACCTCTAAGATACTATATGAAATATATGAGTAAGATTAAATTGTTTTCACAGCTTTCTGTGAAAATAAGGCATATATTTCAGTATCAGTGTAGATTAATAGTCAACCATGTTATTTAGATAGATAGTGCTGAAAATACACCAGTTAATGATATTAATCATAACAATGCAGACAGTTTAACTTTAATTTTATTTTTTGTCAACATTGCGATTTACTTTCTCAATTTCACATACTTTAAAAGTATTGTTTCCATATCTTAATAACTTTGCGTGATTTTTTTATTGGAGCAGTTATTTGATAGTCATAAAAATTGTGTACAAAATGCGATGTGACATTATTTGAGTTACATGTATTCAGCTTTGTAAAGGTACATTTGCATTAGCAACAAAGTTGATGTCAAAAGATTTTATGATGTGACAGTGAATGTTCTCGTTTTTAGAAACAAAGTAATTTATTACTATGATACATGTATCTAATTGTAACTGCTTCTTATTCATTTTTCATTGAACCATATAAATAAAAATATATTGCCAGGTGGCACATCAAAAGTGTCTTGGTTTTTTTGATGAAAAGAGTGAAATATGCCGTTATCTAGAGAATGAATTAACATACTGTCAGTTGATCACTGTTTTAGAATCAATATATTGTTATATGTACACCTATATGGTATATTAGTCATTACCTACATGGAGTTATGAATGAGATAATATATAGGTCATGATTACTGATCAGTCAAATGTACACAATATTATAAAAGGTTGTAATGTCTAATAAATGATGTTTTTACACAAGATACATGTATTTGTTGTTCGTGAGTTTTTTGAACAAATTGGTCGGTTTGCTAAAAAAATCTGAAAAACTTTTTCAATATTTCGATATTTCTTGAGATTTTAAAAGATATTCTTTTTTATACACCCGTCTTAAGACGGGACGTATTATGTTACTTCTGTTAGCTTTTTCATTTCCGGCTCATAACTTTAATACTACTAGGCCTAGGATTATCAAACTTTGTCATCTGATGCATCTTAGGTAGAAGGTGTGTCGCGCACAAAAAGTAGGTCGCTCTGATCTTTAATTAAGAAGTTAAAGCCAAATATGGAAAAATCCTTTCCGGCCCATAACTAGAAAACTGTAAGACCTACAATCATCAAACTTGGCCAGTTTATACATCATAGGAGAAGGTTTCCTATTTCAAGGTCACTGTGACCTTTAATTTAAGTGAATTTAAAAAAAAAAATGTGTCTTTTTACTATTCATTTACACATCCCAAATAATGTAAGAGTATTGCACTGTTCTTATTAAAAAAGTGTTAAATCAAGAAAATACTTATTTTTTTAAAGCATATACTTGACAGTAATCTATAACAAATATAATGTATGTCAGAGAAATCCTACCTCTTCCATGAGTGTTATTATTAAGCACTGGTCAAGAAGAATTTTGATAACAGAAAATTGCATGTCAAATTAGAGAGAAATTAATGGGTTTTGAGTGCGAGGAGCTAACTGACAGAGCATTCATGTTATCTATATCCCTTGAGTATTGGGCAAATGGGTAAGCCTGTTTGATTAAAAAACACACACTTAAGTTTTAAAATGAATTTGATGAAAAGTAATTAAAACTAATTTGATATTGCATAATAGACTAATCTGATATTATATAATATTATTGATTTGAAAACTAATTTTATGGGGTGGAGTGTCAGCATGTCCATATGAATTACCTTCACCAATCTCAACCAAAAAAAAAAAAATCTTTGAGTATTTTATATGTTTTTAAAAAAAATTATAGTAGATAGTGCAGACCCATTCATCTCTTGGTAGTAATGAGTAGACAAGCATCCAGTTAAAGATTAATTAATGAGTTCAATGTAGGAAGGCTATAGCTGTCTCAGTCGCTCTGATTAAGCAGTCTTATCTGTATCCTTTGGGGATTAGACAGAAGAACTGCTGGTCAGTTTATAACATATGTCATTTGATAGCCAGCCTTTTCTTTTCAAAATTAATTTGGTATAGATTAAGTTGTTAAGACTAATTTGATGATGGGCATTTGACAAGGCCTAACACAACCAGCACAGAAATCTATCAGTGATGTAATATTTATTATAATTGATGGCTACATCCAGGGGATGGATAAATATTTTAAGGAATGGAAAAATCATTGAAATCTTAGAATCAAGGTTGATGTGATTTTCTTACACCTAAACTGTTCAAGAAAATTGTAATTATTTGACGGGCGTATCATGCTGTGGCGCGGCACTTTATTAAGCTAACTTCAGCGAAGCTGGCTTATGAAATATCCTCAGTGTTTGTGTCCCAGGTTCAAAATTTTGGAGTAGATTTCCTTTCAAGAACTTTTGTGTCCTATCTTTATCAGGGATGCCTGGATGATTATAATTTATTCATACCAGAATTTGTTAATAATTGACTCAGATATAAAGGTAAAAAAAAACAACTACTGCCTCATCTCTTCCTTTTATTGAAAACACACACTGAGTCATTGAGTAAAAGATGTCACATGTTCACCAATTAAAACCAAGTTCAAAGATTCTGTACTGAGTCATAAAGCACGCTATCTGACTCGGCTTCGTTTGTTGTTACACGTGTTGTGCTGTATCAAGTCCATACCTACAATAGACCGTTAACTTTATAGCTTATGACTAATTCTGAAGATAATTTCGATTATTGAACTTCAAAATGTCTTTAAAATACATGTACATGTATTGCTTGTTTACACAACAGATTTTTTAAACGTATTGCTTGTTTATATGTTAAAATGAATCTTAAATCAAACATGTACATATTAAGTGTAATGACTTATTGCGATTATAAGAAGACATAATGAATTTTGAAGTTTTTTTTCAAAAGTTTGAAGCATTGAATAATAGTTAATTTGACGGAAATTAAAAATCTGTTTACTTGAAATCATGTGATTGTTCCGATGCTTTCTTCCAACTT